AAATTTTGACTTAAAATTGTTGGTCATGTTTGTAAAAATAAAAAATAAAAAAGTTTGTTGCTATGTTTATAAATAGGGTAAATTTATCGCTACCATTTAAACTAACCTTATATTTGCCTCCTATATTTATATTGAAAGGTAGGCGTAAGATAAATAATCCACAATTTCCATCAGAAAAGGTATAAAAAAATTCCCATGCAATGATTAATAAATAAATATTCAATGGAATTTTTTCGATGGTGTTCATGACAATACGTCGTTTAATTTGTTAAAAAACAAAAACCTGGACCAATGAAATTTAAATTATAGTGCTAAAAACAGTCAAAATACTTCTCTATTTTATTTTTTTTCTTTGACTTGTGTTAATTCTTTGTTAATTACGCAATTTTAATATTCTACCAACTCGAAATTTTAGATTAATTTTTTCTGTTTGGTACAGAACTCCAATTTCTTTTTGGAAAAATTGGGCTGATTCTTCTGCTCAATAATGTTAATAAATGAGTTTTATGAGGGGAAATGAATATAAAGTGTTTCTGTTTTTTAAATTTTGAAATATTTATGAGTTGAAATTACATGGCTCAGATCATTTTAATCCAAAACGCACTGTATTCTTTAAGGTAAAAAATATATATATGATTTTAATTGGTGGCTAAGCATCAAAGTCGGCATTTATAGACTTGATATGAAAACAAAAGATGCTTTGATGATTATAACCTCTAGAATTTAATGTAAGTTCAAAGCTAAAATATAATATGATTTGCTACATGGAATAAAAGAGGTTCTTATTTTAGTCATTGATTTATATTATATTTAATATAAGATGATTAGTGAATCTTTTTTTTTTTAATTTGTATATTTCCTAAAAAAAATACTAAACTTTTTGATATAATAAAAAAATTATTGAAGATATTAATTAAGAGTTTTCAATTATTGATATGGATCCTAGTTTTTATTCCCAATAAATAATTTTTAATAATAAAAGTGGTGGACATTAGATTTATTTGAATTCTAGTTAAGGGGGTAAGTAAGTTGATTTTTTTTAAGCACTAGATGACCAAATTGATTAAAATAAATAACCTACCAAATTGAAACCAACAAAATCTACGTAAACTGAAATTGACTAACTATTTATTATTATTATTATTATTAGTGTTCTTTTAGTTTGCACTTTTTTCTTTAATCTTTTTAGTACAAGTTGGGGTGAAATTTGAAAGAACTTTTGGTAAGAAAGAAGTATGAATTCCCACGTAGCTAAGTTCAAGTTGTCACCTTAATTTTTGATTTTTGATTTTTTATATTAATTTGTTGGTGTGAGAGAATAATAAAAATTAAAGTGAAGCAAAATAAAATCTCATTGAAACTAGACCACCTAAAGTAAGTGGTATAATACTCTTTTCAATCCCTTCTATGATTCAAACATATCCATATTTATATAAGTANCCAAATATTTTAGTGCAAAATTATAGGACACCCACATAACAAATATTCCCTTCTTTAAACCTAATAATTTTCCTTTTATGGTTAACCTCCGTACATTCCTATAACCTAAGCTTTGCTTGGTTATTATTTAAAACCATTCATTTATTTCATAATGTAAAACAGATTAAACACATCTTACTATAATTAATTCTACAAACGAACATATACGATATATGGTTGAGTTCTTTTCCAGCTTTTTATTTTATCACTTTTAATAGAAATAAGTTTGGAATACACGTTTCCATTCCATGTTTAATGTAATACTTTTGGGCTAAAAGCTTCCAAATAGAACTCATCTATGATAATGACGTGTTACTGTACATAGAATAATAATTAAGTGTGCAATAAATTTAAGAGGGTGTTAAATAATATTGTCCACAACATGCATGACCTGGGCCATTTAAAATGAATGTGCTCGAGTCGTGAGAAAAAAATGTAATTAAAGTTTTTTCTAATATTTTTATCGATATATTATCCATGATTTGTTTTTTCTAATTATACCAACTTTAATTCTTATTCGGTAAAATATTGTCTAAAAAACAATATCATTTCCACTCAACATTTTCACACGCAGAAACGTAACACTGCCTATTTGTTGATCTATCATGACCAATGGTAAATCTTTAATTTGTAAAGAGAAATAAAACAAAAACAAAAGGCAAAGCTTTGTAAAAAGGAACCACATCCTAGGCCATATTTACTTCTTAGCCAACGGAACTTTGGCCACGAGTCAAAATTGAGCCTATTTTTTAAAATTATTATAAGTAGCTTAGCTGTTAAATAATCAATGACCAAACATTTTCCTTGGTAAAGTGAATTTCCATCTCATTCTTCACAAAAATAAATGATATCAGTTCCTAGACATCAAAATTTACTTTAAATTTAAATTAGGTTAAATTGAACAAATCTTAACTACCTCGATGTCAATACCAATTTAAATATAGTTCAAACTTTTAGATATTAATATATCGTGGTATGCATTGTAAATTTGTGTTATTTCATGTATATCGTAATAATATTAAAAAAGTTACATTCATATTACCTGCAATCTATTAATTGGAGATATATGTCAATTAAACTATGTTTGCTTTGACTGTCCGTGATTTAAGTTAAGTTGAGAAATAGAAAACCAGTATTAAATTGTTGTATTAAACATTAAGGGTAGAAAAATACCAAAATTCTGTCTTTTGTTCAAATTAACAAGATTAAGAAGAATGGGAAAAGTAACACGTGATTGGGTGGGAAGGCGGAACGTAAATTTGAAAGGAATTTCCGACCCTTTTTAGTCTTTTGTCCATTATTTATTTATTTTTTTAATTTAAAAAAAAATTATATATGTGTAAGCGTAGAAGACAGAGGGTCCCCCCCCGCAACTGCAAATCAAACAATGATGCCTCGGATCGCGAACGGAACATTTTTCCCCCAAAGCCGCATGAATGGCATTTCTGTAATTTTAGCCACGTGCAGGGGCAAGTTTATTCACTCTTCAAATCATTTCCTCGCCTTGCCCCTACTATTCGCCACACTTGAGGAGGGTAGTCTCGACATTACCGATAACTTTTTTTCCCCTCTTTTGCAAAGGACATGTCCCGATAAATTTATTTGAACATAGAAACTTCCTATTTCATTATTTGTGGAATAAATTAGGGTACATGAATTTAAATCTCCAAACGTCAAACAAAAAATTAAGCTGAGCTATGCTACCTATTTCATTATTTGGTACCGATTAAACTTAATTATTTTTTTAAGTATAAGTTTATAACTACTTTTAGAGATCAAGTTACTCCATTCGATAAGTGCTATAAGACATAACAACATTTCGACGCTACTATATTTTATTGTTAAAGTAATTCAAGATATCAAATTTTAAGTAGATGAGACCATGACTTGAATTCATTCTCTTTAAATTTTTATTTACATCGGTTAACATTGACCATTTCACCCATTCATAGCTATTAGCTACAAATTTGAGGGTTGAATAGCTTGTAAGATACTTTTTTATTTAAGGACCTAGTAGAAATAATATAAAAAAATTATCGACTTATTAGATACTTTGAAATGATAATCTATGATGAAATTTGAAAAATTCATTAATACTTCCAAGATTTAATAACTTATTAAACCCGACTCAGTGACGAATGGTTTGTTAAGATTAAAAGCTTATAGCAGTGCATTTTATCTTTTATTTTCATTTCAAACAAAAAGAGATCTAATTAGATTCATTTAAACAATAATTTCAAATCTATTGAACTTTGGAAGGTGAATATATAATACAAAATAAAATAAGGTTATAATATAGTTGCTTGATTTGTAATTACAGTGGAAGAGCGACGCTTCCACAGGAAAAGCCGCCTCATTTACTCTCTCGCTTTTTTTTTATTTATTTAATTTTTTAATTTTGATTTTCAGAGTTTAAACCCTGTTGTTTCTTTTTCTCTCTCCCTTTATTTACTTTGTTTTTGTTTTTATTTCTCTCTCTATTCCCTTTCTCTTTTCATCTTCTGCCTCGGCCTCTGTTTAGCTTCTAGCCTTCCACCTATTTTCTCCATCACAGCGCCTACGGAAAGCGTGGAAACAACAACTGCACAGACAAACCCTTCCTTCCTTCTGATGAGCGATAAATTTTGCCTGCTGCTCAGTATTCTTCTTCACGCCTCCCTGCCCTTTCTTCTGGAGGGAGCCGCCTGAGATGTACACTTAACGGCGGCCGG